GAAAACTTGTCAGAACTGACTCATGCTGATAGAGGAACAAAGCAGCAGACAGAACCATTTAGTGCTCTTAACTGAGATAAGTACACACTATAGAGGGATATGCTTTGTTCATATTTCAAGTCTAAGGCTTACAACCACTTTAAAAGGATAAGTTCACCTTCTGGATCATGTTACACCCATATTCAGGCTATAATGTGTAACATGCTCCAGAACTGCCCCCCACACCCCTCCTTCCCGCTGACAGTGGGTAGGGCAACCTCTCTCTGCCACACAGCCACATACATCATTCATAGAAAATCTGAATTAGAAAACTACAAGTTCCATCTGCCACCGTGGTAGACAGACTTGTAGATTGAATGGGCCACAAACCTATTCATTAGCATCAAAATAAAAGTAGCAAAGCGAGCTCTTTCTGAAATATAATAAAAAGCTGCTAGCATAAAGGAAAACCTCTAAAATCCTCAAACATGAAATATGAGAGATGCAGCGCTAAAATAAATATTAAAGTGAAAATTGGTGATAAATGCGCAAACATATGTGCTAACATTTATATCACCTGCTAGCGCATATTTTTGCACATTTATCACCAATTTTCACTTTAATACTATTCATTAGCATGCTTGTAGTTCATGCGCACACCCTCCAGCTTGCAAGCTGACAGCCCATATAGAGGCACAGAAAGCTGGAGCGAGACTGTGCCAAAGCCTGAAATTGCAATCGACATATGATTGTGTGTACAATGCTTTGAAAGCTCCTAAAAAAAATTTTTTTTAATTTTATATATATATATATATATATATATATATATATATATATAATTTTCTTTCTATACATACATTTTTACACATACATTTTCTTAACCGGGGGAGGAGTTGACCGTTGACCATGTAAGGTCATTTACATTAATACAGAGAATGCATTAAGGTAGAAAAAGAAAAAAAAAAAAAAAACCTTAAGCCTTTATAACCAATTTATAACTCGAAGGTGTGTGTTAAGGCAACCTATTCATTTAGAAATGGCTTCCTACGCAAGGCAATCGGCACACAAAACAAATCATGTGCCTTGTGTTGCAGTAAAGTGGGTTTTACTTCATGGTACATTACTGTATATGAGTAAGTGTATATTTAAGTGTTTTGCACAGAGAGGGATGTTTCGCTGACATTGTAGACGGGTTTTGTAAAGTGAATAGCTAAAACCTCTTCCTGACTTGTCCTTTAAATGAGCCAAAAACGGTGCAGTATTTGGCGCTTAACCCAAAAGTCATACTAATAAGCAAGCAAAATATCCAGTTTCTAAAATGAGCTGTGGAAGGACACTTAATAGTAAAAAAAAAATTAAAAAAATGGTATGCCTCATGAACATCATGAAGATCACAACTGTTCTGTTATGTCATGTCATAAGTGAACGTCAGCCAAATGAAAGAAATGAGCATTTATAACTGACTCAAGGACAAAGCCTCCCTACTGAATGGTGTGAATATTCTCCCTGGTGTTCCATCTTCTACAACCCTCTGCCAAAATAGATAAATCCACAAGGCTGCTGGCATCTCTGAATTTTAAACACCTCTGGATCGGAGTTTGTTAAAATGCACGCCAATGTGTTCTGAGTGACGCCCTCTTGGAACAAACTGTGGTGTCCACTTGCAGTCTGAAGCATGAGGACATTGTAAAATGCTGAAACATGTCAGAGGCCAGTTTGCAGAAATCGTAAAAAAAAAAATATTTTATTTATTTATTTTTAAAAAGCCAGGATTCTGGACACAATGGATTACATGTTAAGCCTCGGGTCTACAGAACTGCTGCCTGGCAGCCCAGATTGAGCCATCATTTCTACTGCTGTCCATGGATCGCTGTAATTTGCACTAAAGACCGTCACACCACTATTCACTACACCATTCAGTAACCAACAGGTTTTTCCTCTCTCTCCTCTCTCTTTTCACCAAAGTCTGGCTCAGATATCCTTTTCATTATTCTATTCTGGGTACTGAACTCCTGTATGCATTTCTGAACATCAGCTCTTATACATTTTAACTGCAGCTCACTGTACCTATATGCATGTGGGTATTTTGTTGCTGTGATTCCATAGTGGGGTGAATATCTTTGCTGTATTATGCTGGATGAGATATATGACATACTTGAATATTAGTACCTATTGCATAATTGTATGTACAGTATATGCCAAATACAAATTTGTGGCTAAAGCATTTTTGGTTATGTGGTGTGCTGGTTCTATATATTTAAAAAAGTAAAAACAGGGAGATATATATATATATATATATATATATATATATATATATATATATATATATATTTATATTTATTTATTTTTTTTTTTTTTTCTTGCTCAGAATTGGGCTTTAAGGTCTACAGACTATTTGGAGACTTCAGCATAGTTCCACCATATCCAGACAGCACCCACCATCCACCAACTGATTTTACATCCTCATGCACACTGAACATTTTTATAGCGACTGTTTTTGGCTTCTGGCGTTTTTTTCTACAGCCAGTCAACTCCCCAGCATGGTATCCTATGTGTTCATGCACACTACGGTTTTAACCAGCGTTGTTTGTCGGGAGCTTTTTTTATGGCTGGAAAAAAAAAACCCCAGAACTAGTTGGTTTCAAGAGGAGTTTTTTAGCTGTAAAATGCTCTAATGCTGATAAAAGCTGGAAAACGTGAAAAAAAAAAAAAAAAAAAAAAAAAAAAAGTCAGATATCTGGCATTTATGAGCATTTGAGCCTGAAGATTTTGTGGGAGTAGAACGTTGCTAAAAAAAAAAAAAAAAAAAAAAAAAAATGCAAATGTTGAAAAACTCTGAAAAAAGCGAATACAAAAAAAGCTTAAAAAAAAAAACCTCACGTTTTTATTGCAGCATTCTACAGCTACGGCTACTGGCGGTTTTATAACGTCAAGGGTGCATGAGGCGCACTAGTTGCTTTGAGTTGCCCTTTAAGGAAACATGTCATTACTGTAAAATATTTTGTCTGCCTAACACCTAGTGTGGTGTGTTACTGGGCAGAACTGAGTGGTGTTCTGAGACCCCTTCTGATGGACTAAAGACTTGGGTGTACTCATGATAAATTCTTTGGCTCCATTCCCCTGCATTACAGTTCGGGCTGAAAATCTGGAACCACAAGCTTTCTCCTAATGACAAAAACAAGCTTTCAGGGTATTTTACAATGTACAGGCCCATTACTGTTAAAGCAAAATAATTTGGATTTGTTTGTCATTACAATTAAAGGCAAACAACACGTGGGACTAGAAATGGAGCAAAATTAAAAGGCCAAGTTTACTTAAGGAAAAAAAATAATAAATGCTCATATTTTTCAGAAAAATGCCTGCGATCAGTGTTTGGCGGGTGCAATGTCAGTGTGTTGCACACCCTCCCTCAAGCTTTCTGCCCGTACCTGCTTACATTATTATACAAGATTTTTTGCTCAGCGCTTTACAATATGATGGAAAACAATACAGCAACAATAAAAGTTCAATACGAAAGGGTTAGGAGGGCCCTTCTCCTTGGAGCTTACAATCTAAGAGGGAGGGAGCTGGTGGTACAAAAGGTAGTAACTGTGGGGGATGGACTGGTAGGAGGAACAGAAGATTCCATTATTAGCTGAGGGCAGGATAGGCTTCCCTGAAGAGATAGGTTTTCAGAGATCGCCTAAAAGTGAGCAGAGTAGGCGATAGTTTGATAAATTGGGGTAGAGAATTCCAGAGGATGGGGGAAACTCTGGAGAAGTCCTGGAGACGAGCATGGGAGGAGGAGACAAGGGAGCTAGAGAGCAGGAGGTCGTGGGAGGTGCGGAGAGGACGGTTTGGGTGATATTTGGAGACAAGATTGGTGATGCAATTTGGGGCAGAGTTATAAATGGCTTTATAGGTTATTGTGAATGTTTTTCATTTTGATCCGTTGGGCAATGGGAAGCCAGTGGAGGGATTGGTAGCAGATATGGAACAGTTAGTAAGGTGGATGAGTCTGGCAGCAGCATTCATGATAGACTGAAGAGGGGAAAGCCTGCGATGAGGTAGGCCAATGAGGAGGGAGTTACAATAGTCAAGGTGAGAGATAACCAGGGAGTGAATAAGTTGCTTAGTAGTTTCAGAGGTTAAGAACGTCATACTTTCAGTTAGAAAGCTGGAGGAAGGATGAATGGACTACCAGCTCACTGGTCAGCACACTCGAACGCCCTGCCATCTGCTGTGGTGGCAGACGGGACTTTAATTCACAGATCGCTGTTAATGACGCAAGCGAAGGTGTGTTCAGCTGCGCTGATTTTAAATGCAACAGTGGCTATGGGGGAGAAGAACCTCCGCCCTCCGACATAAGGGAAATGGGTAAGGGGCGTGAGCAGGGCAGGTACTGAAACATGTTACATCTTAAGGCGTATCATGCTCTAAAACCAAACTTATCCTTTAAATTCCAGGCCGCCCTACTAGCTAGCCTAACAGTACTCTGCACTGTGGAATTATAGCTGAGTTTCTGTGTTCACTGCCAATTCACTGAACATCCTCAGGGCTTTGTTACACAAGTAGTTTTACATTCTTGCTACTATGTGGGCAAACTTGCCAGTGTTCTCCTTCTGAAGGTACAGACAACACATTAATAAAAATGGAAAATGGGACTTCTTTATGTGCATGTAATTCTAGCATTCAGATTCCATGTAGTAAATTTTATATTTGTCTTTCCAGAAATGTTCAATAAAAATTTATATATATAAAAAAAAAAAAAAAAAAAAAAAAAAAAAAAAGCATGACATTTCTGTATCTCCTGTATAGTGATCATTTATACCTAGCATTACTTGGACACATCAAATTGATTACACTCGAGTTATTTTTATTTGGCCACAAAATGTTTCACTGCTATATAGTGCGAAATCTGCAATTTGTAACAAGGGGAATGGAAAATCATGCCGCAACGCAGACAGAACTGTCAGTGCACACAAAAGTCTTTATTTAAATCCCAAGAATTGAATATATATTTGAAAATTTAGGACGCTTACCTAATGACCCCACATCTGGGCCAATAGACTCCACTACAAAGTCTGCTGATTTTCCAACGACACCACCAGAGAGACCAGGGCCCCATGCCCGTACTTTCTGAGGTCCTGCGTCGGGCCCCACCTGAACTTCAAATGGGCTGAGAAGACCAAAAAATGCAAGTAATTATGTATATAGTATGGAGGATGTAATCACAGAACAACAAAAACGGCTAAGTTAATGCTAGTGACAGACGGCAGCCTACATGCCATTTTTCCCAAAATTCCCTTTCCACTTTAGTGCTTTCTCCCCCACCCATCCATGTCTCTATGCTTTATTTTGCTGAGAAATCATTTTGAAAAACCTTTCTGGCAGTAGCCATATTGAGTAAGGGCAGATCATTCATGTAAGGAAATATGTTTTATTAACTGGCATCCATTTTGTATAATGCCCCCATTTCTAGATGTGTGAACAGTTTTGTTTTTATAACTCCTCTCTCGTTTTTTTAGACCAGTTTCATTTCTGTAAAAACGGAACTACCTTTATATGGTATCCCTCAGTCTCTGTTCTTCACGTAACTATATTGATAAGAATGGAATGTTTCATTGGTCATCCTAAGATTAAGCCTACTGAGTTCTGTAGAACTGTTCTTGTCACGCATGACATTTTCCGAAATTTAGCTTGCACACTTCAGTGTCTGGAGCTTTATTTCTCCCAGGCCTGAGGGTGAAAATAACGAGGACAGGGACTACAGACAGACTGATTTCCATCAATTCATGTATTATTTACTTCCTGGAATCCATCTGCTCTTAGCTCAGGCATAGGCTGAGCTGACAACCCTCCCCTCCTGAAGACTCCTGGGACATTTGCCTAGGCATTTGAACTCAGTGGTGGTGCTATTGGATTACAAAATGCATGAAAATTCATATTTTCAAAAGAAAATTTGTTCAGAATTCGACCTCCTGCCTAACCCCCAGCAGCCAATACAATTTCAGTTTACCTAGGCGAGAAGAGTGAAAGACTAATTCTGATTGGCCATAATAAACATCACTGCTTCTTATGATTTGCTAAGCTTACTTCAACTATTGTGTTCCATGAAGCAATCCTGAAAAATGAATCAAAAATGCTTCCTTATTGAACCTTTAGGGCTAGTTCACACTACGTTTGTTCCAGTGCTTTTTCTGCATCCAAAATGCATAGAAAGTACGTCACATGGTTGTCAATGGCATAGTTCACACCAGTACCTTCAGTTCCAGAAAAAAAAAAAAAAAAAAAAAAAAAAAAGGTAGAACATGCTTCATTTTTAAATGCATTAAAAACGCACTGAAACGCCTCAAAAATGAACCAGACCTCCGTACAGTGAAAAAAATTCTTTGGAATGCATTAGAAAAAACACAAAAAATACATTGAAATGCATAAAAAACGTGTTAAGAACGTGCATGCAGAAATGCATCCAGAACAGATCTGGAGTGCGTTTTTGTGCTGTGAACTGGCCCTTAAAAAAAAAAAAAAAAAAAAAAAAAAAAAAAAACTTGCTGAACCTTTGAGCATCATTTAATGCAAAGAATCTTTTCCCTTGTTACCAACAAGATTTAATACAGCCCCATTCTGTCACAGAAAAAGCTGCCCTAAGATGAATCTTGCCTATCTGGAACACTGCCAAATTATTTCAAACTCTTGCTAGAATGAAAGACTTTTGTAGAGTAAAAAAAAAGTTCCCAGCGACCTCTGCATAGTGCGCACACAATGATCAACCCCAGGACCGGGTTAATGATTTTCTCTGTAGAACAGAAACTAGGATATCCTTCTCCTGGTATTTTATGTAACCTAGTAACTTAGAGGTTGCTGCCAGGATCGTTCTGGGTTTTGATTGCAAAGCATAAACCATTGCTTAAAAACAACCCTGTCACTAACTTCTCATAATGACATTCAAGTAACATGAATTCCTCAGTGTTTGTTTAGCTTAGCAAATGGAGCACAAAATAATAAACTTTCTCCAGAAAATGATGTTACCTCGGCACTGGCAGTTTACAACTTTCAATGCTGCTGGCTCCTGCTCTCTCTGTGCTGCTTCCCTGAACTTCCAGTCTTCACAAGAAAAAGTTGACAGTGCAGTCTCCAGCCTTGCAAAAGGGAGGGGAAGGAGCAGGGAAGTGCCTTGCCATCATAAACTATGGGGCTGTGTGTTTCTATTGATGCACACAGTGTAGGGAGACAGCTCTGGTCCCTACATACAAGGGTTCCAAAAGGCATAGAAAAGGAAAAAGGAGTCACCCTGAAACAGGAAACCTGGGTCAGCGATCATGACAGCAGCTCAAGCCGAAATGTAGGCTGGCTCACCTTTGGGAAGAGAGCTGTCTTTTTCAGCACATGAAAAAAACCACAGCTTTCCACCAGGGCAGAAAGAAGACAATGGCGTTCAATGTGCCCCATTCTCACTTCCTTGCTGCTGTCACCTGCAGGGAAGACCAGTGCGGAAAAAAGCAAAACTGCTGCATTTTTGTACACCACTTCACAGGGGTCTGTGCGACCCTGCGCTTTATGCACAGCAGCTGAGCCGACGTCCATAAGAATGAATGGATCCCCCCTCTCTTTACTGGCAACTGCAATCACTACCTGCAGAGAAAACTGTGAACCTGCCCTAAAAGATAAAAAAAAACTGCATGCTCGGTAATGGATAAAACCATTGCACACAGCAGGTAAAATTACGATGTGTTTACTATTTTCAAGGCAAAAAAAAAAAATAATAATCGAGGCTTTAGAACCACTTTAAAGTGTATGCACATTCTAAAAATGACGTATTTCATTTATTACCATTTGGTCTGTTAGGTATACCTTTGAAAGCATACCTGTTGATCATCTAAAAGGTGGAAGGGAGTGGGGATTCAGTAGTTCAGCAAAAGACAACTAGGCAGGGCTGACACTATTTTTTGCGATCCCTCACTCTACAAAACCGTGTGCTGTCATCCCACAATAGGCCATTGGGAGTCAAGCAGATTTCCAATAGATCAACAGCTATTTTTCTGTATTTGACAGGGCCTTTAAAGGAATAAAATATGGGGAAATGTGCATGTATTGCAGAGATGCACTTAAAAAAAAAAAAAAGTGAACAAAAAGTGAGTGACAGATTTTGGCCATCACAGCAAAGTTCACTTGAAAAAAATGCTTTAAGTGACAATACAGAATCTAAGATGAAATACATTCCACATCCCAAACTATATATTGCATCTTTCCACACCATATGTTTTGCGGAAGGTTACAAATTTCAAAAGGCAACTGCAAACATCTCCATCCATAGACAGGACATGGTATTAAAGGTTTACCAGACAAGACCTTCATCTTACCTTTTGGGGATGTGATGGCCGCCCCAAGTGATGGTGGCCACATATTTTCCCAGGGTTCAGGGGGTAATACTCAAACAAATGTACTCCATCTACCGCCTCCAACTGCTTCACAGGCTCATCCAGACCCTCTGCCAAAACACATCAACACAATGTTAGCTTCATTTGAAAGCAGCTTTCAGACGCCACAGAAGAGAAGACAAATGAGATCTCTAAATAGACGTGCTGAAATGTCCAAACCTTGGACAAGATAACCACAGTCTCCAACATTGTAGATGCTATTAGACATGCTAGGGATATGCCTGGAATGTCGAATATTCTCAACATTGCCAACATCTGTGCAGATTTGTGGTTCACTAAGCATTGAAAATTATCTATATGCAGATGTACACATTCTCTGATCGCAGCAAAGAGACAAAAAACATTGGGTGAAGCTGTCACCATTGTGGGATGTCATAGGAGTACTGGTCTACCACTGGGGAAAAATGATCTGGCTATCCAGCATTTTACTTGCCATTATATTTTCTATATTTATTACTTTAAAAAGGGTAATTGCTCCTTTGTGGTCAGTGGGGTGACACTTATTTATGGGCAGCACAGTGGCTAAATTGTTAGCACTTCTGCCTTTCTCAGAGCAAACCCCTCTAAGAGCCTGAGTCAGCTGCTACCCTCCACAGCCCAGTGCTCCTGTGAGCGCTAGAGGGGCAAAGAACAAGTGACTGACAGTCACTGGCTCTCGGCTCACTGAAGACAGAGAACCGAGCGATCAGCTTAATTCTCAGTCTTAACTGGGACAGGGGACCAACGCAGCTGGGTTTGATGATGCATCCACCTTAGTTAGCACTTCCGCCTGGCAGAACTAGGGATGTTGGTTCAAATCCCAACCATGGCACCACCTGCCTGGAGTTTGCATGGTTCTCCCCGTGCCTGTGTGGGTTTCCTCCGGGAACTCCGGTTTCCTCCTACACTCCAAAGACATGCTGGTAGGTTAATCGGATCCTGTCTAAATTGGCCCTAGTATGTGTATGTATGGATGTGAGTTAGGGACCTTAGATTGTACACTTCCTGAGGGTTAGGACTGATGTGAACCTACAATATACATGTAAAGCGCTGCGTAAATTGATGGCGCTATATAAGTACCTATAATAAATTTATGCCCGCGGACAGATAGTACTTTGGCAGAGTACACATTTTCCATTAGGAATGGATGAGTGTACAGTGCATTGTGGCTAGTTAAAGAATGAGCCACACACAATAGATATTCAAGAAAAAGGAGTAACATAGCTCAGAGCAACAGGTCAATATAACATAAAAAAAATAAAAAACAAACCAATTGGTTGCTAGAGGCAAAACCCACAGCTTATAATCATGAGGTCCAGCACATCTAAAAAGTACCTACAGTGACAAAAAGGTTAGTTAAGGACAGTGTGTTTGTTGTGCAATGAGAGTGTGAGAGTGGGGCCTGTAGCTAAGAGGCCATGGGTACCTGACAGAGTGGGGCCTGTGGGCAAAAGTGGGGCCTCTCAGTGTAAAATGGAGCTAGACTAGCAATGTGGCTGAGGGCAGCAAAATAACAAACCATGCCAATTTGTCTAAGCCAACAGACAGTTGAAACAGTTGGCCAGAAGGATAAAATGTGTGTTCTATTTGATGTACCCCTGTGGGTAATAAAATTCAAATGAACGTTTGCCTGTGGACTGTTAAGCTGAGATCCTCGTCTCTTGCCTTTGCCATTCGATATCAAGCTCACATTATATAAATGAAGACAGCCAGTACTTCAATGCACAAGATGAAAGCTGTAATGTGGTTAACACATCAGAGGCCTTACAGATCTCTTCCTTTAAGTCAAAAGTACAACTTTCCCCTACAGGAGAGGTTCCAGGAGTCCCTGAACTTTGATGTGGTTAATACTAATGCTTTAACCTAAAGGTTTCATCTTGCACATTAAAGTGCTAGCTGCCTTCATGCATACTGCTATATAGAATACCTGTATGAACTGTCACACCCTTACATAGTAAATGCATTGATACATTTTTTTTTTATGGGCATAAAAAAAGCGGGCAAAGGACGTTTCCGTGCAGTGTGGAAAAACGTGCATTTTTACATGCGTTCCCACACCGCAAATGGTCTGAACAAGCTCTCAAACTAAATTTGTTCAACAAGTGGGCTGAAAATCAAATCAATTACCCCTTCCACAGTGAACGGTGTGGATTGCACTCTTTACGATTCAAAAGTGATTTAAATTAACATAAAATTGCTAGTACTAACAGTTTTGCACCATATGTATTATTTACACAGTGATGTTAGCAGGTTCTTCCAAACTGAAAGGCTGCATTAAAATACTAATGTATCCCAAAAAATAGCTACCTGCACTGTGTGTTGATGACAAGTGCTCTAAAACATGTAAGTTATACAATAACTCTGTGAATGAGAAAGTTAAAAAAAAAAAAAGAAAGAAAAAAATCTATACCATGCAGAACTATAATAAATAAAACATTATTATTGTAGAGTTTCCACTGACAGCTATTTGTCATGTCCACTCCTTGTTCCAAGAGCATAGAGAAAATAGCTGTGATATCAATTACCTAGACACATTATTTTATTTGGCTATAACAGAAGGGACATTTTTTGAGTTAAAGTATTATAGAAAATAGACCCCAAGACATTGGGAGTGTTTGCATACAGTTAAACAATAGCAGACACTTACTTGGCCCCTTCACTGAAACATGGAGGTCACCACTTCCTGCAGTTCTAGTGTCGACCTTAAAATCAGCAGTTTCTCTAATCCGGACGCCTTTGGGCTGCAAGCCACGTCCGCTGGCTCGACAAGCGTTTGGGCTGCAGGCTGTTGACAGGGAAAGAGATAGGAACACTTGCTCAGATATCATAATACGGATAATACTATCTGTACAAAAGCAACACATTTGCCATGCGTCAGGTCAGTGGAGGCAGGCGTGTTAGTCAAGATGGATAAAGCAGGCCTTAGTGAACGTACAGCATTGTGATACACCACACACAGATTAGGAAACGAAAGCTTCTGGGTGTTACGATACAAACTACTTAACAGATGAAACTAGATGTAAGTTACACTTAAAGGGAACCTGTCAAGATAGAAAAGTAGTCGCTGCCATGGAGGACTTGCTCCAGGGAGTCATCTTACACTTTATTTAACTACCTATCAAATTATCGACTTACAAGCATGCAAGTAGTGAATCATCAGGACATCTGTCCTCTATGCTTTCTGTGGAACACAAACTCATGGGACAGTAAGACAGTTAGATTTACCCAGGTCTGACTCTTGTGGAAATGCAAAAAAAATGTGAGATAAGGCAGAAAGATTTTAGGAGGCCAAAGTTTAGTTTATCCTAAGGGTAAGGAAGACCTCTTCCTGCCACCCCAAGACACCAACAAGCCATAGTATTGGAGCTCAGAAAGCTGGAACGTAGAAACAGTTTTTATCTCAGCCCCAAAGAAGGCAGGGGTTCACAAAACCTGGAAAATAAAAACCGCCTAACTTACAAAGAGTAAAGTTTTCTGTTTATGAATTTCTTTATCATTCTGAAACTGTAAATTTAAAGTTTTATATGCAGGATACAAATTGCTATTACACATTACATCTTAAGTGGAACAATGCTACAACTGCCAAGGTTAGAAATTGGGGAATTTCATTATGTTGCTATTGCCTAGGTGGTAGTGGTGGCAGTGTGACAACATCATGGGGTACGGTGTGATTATACTATGTTGCACGAATAACTACATAAAATGCTACAAGGCTTCGAGAATTTATATTTGAACTCAAAATTCAGATTTACGATACTTTGGAAGAAACTCACTAATGCATTCTACAACCTGGGCCCACCAACATCTTTCTAGTAGCAGACGACCCCTCATTGCATTTTTTTTACATGTTCTTGTAATAGTGACCAAAAATATTAGATGGTGCTTAGACGTGCAGACCTTTCCCAACTGTTCGCATACACATTTGGTCTATAGAGGAAACAGAAAAGATCTATGTTGTTGGCACTACCTAACTTAGAGGAAACATAAGTGACTTGTAAAGGAAATTGGAAATCCCTACCTAGATTCCTTCCAAAAAAGAAAAAGGGTCAGTTGGGATATATCTTGTGAGGTCAGAGTGTCCGTAGATATATAACCCATTTTCACAGATCCAGTAACAATTATTTTTGGTTAGAAGACAATACAGGTAGCGGAATCATTGGAGGACTAACACTTCACTACACATATATTAATATCATTTCAAGTCTGTGTTGGTTTTGTTCTAAAGGGACCTGAAGTTTAACAGATGTATGAAGGTTATCCGTGAGGCACACTACAACTAAAATTCCAACTTTCAAATTAACTACAAAGAACATTAGAAACTATCACTTGAATGAATGTTGTTGGCTAAGCAGACTCTTAGCCCCACTGTACTGAGAATCACAGGTGGCCTTACCATTTCAGGACATGGGGACAAGACCACAAGCTAGAACTCTCCAACTTTGCATCACCAGCACACAAATGGTCAGAAAAACAAATGTGCTGCAGGTACATTACAGCCTAAAGAAAACTAACACTAGTCTAAAAATGTCTCATTAGCAACTTATAGTGAAACATCTAAGACAAAAACCACAAATGAAAATAATATATATTTACACCAGCAGGGCTTGTAAAAACCAGACAGGAAGCTATAGTCATGTCTACAAGGGGAATGAACAAAAGGAGAGGATCTGAAGTAGTCAGCTAATAGAGACAGAAACCACACTTTTGGGAAATACCAGATTTCCCTATGGATGTAACCATGACAAGTATTCACCTAATCTGGGACCACCATGACACCATCTGGAGACTCAAACAAGGTATGTGTGGATGATCATTTTGCCTATTTTATAGATACTGCCCTGTGTGGTCCTTTGTGGGCAATGAATGCATAATGAAGGTGAATTTATATAACATTTATATTTAAAAAGGTGATCCAAAAGGTTCACTGCTATGAAGAACCACACTGACATTCCAAAGAAAAATATACTAATTTCCATGATCACATGTTATACATTTCAAATCCTACAAAATAATGTGCTCATTAGAGAGTGAAAGTACAAGTCTGTTAAGAAACTCTTCACTTCAAGAATTCTGACGTTGACACCAAGAAAATGTTCCACACAGGGTCTTGCCGAGACTGTAATTAGTAGGTTTATGACCTGTGAAGGTTATTGGATGACAGCAACCAAAAGGAGTAATGTGCTGTTTCCAGCAGCAAGGGGTACAACAATCTCAGACCCACAAAGTCTTGACAGTCTATATAGCAGTGGTGGAAGTATCTAGGCTTCTGACTGGTTGAGACAGAACAAACTTTGCACCTGATGGACTGAGACATGTAACTAATATTTTTTTTTACACAAAAAAAAAAAAAAAAAAAAAAAAAATCAACAAGAGGATGAAATCCAAGCAAAAACCTGCAAACTCTTACCAGCCCTGGCCTGTACACAACTATGAGGCTTAAGCTGTGCCGTCCATTATCCCACAAGAGCAGGAGAGATCAGAAGAGGGAAGCAGAGATCTGCAGCAGCAGGAAGGAGGAAGCAGATGAAAGCAAAGCAGTAGAAAGCAAAAAGAAAAATGTCTCAACAGAGCAAGAAGCCAATTATCACAACATTGTAAAGTACATGCTAGAATATTACAAAACGAAACAAAATAATACTGATAGGATCTCAGGAAAAGGCAGTCAAGCACGTCACAATTCCAAAATAAATGCTGTCCTAAATCACTGCATATGAAAGTGTCAAACTGGTTTTCTTTTTTTTGTGTACATTCATTTTCATCATCTATACAAAAATAGATCAGTAATCAATGCATTATGGTCAATTATTCCTGATTTTCAGTAATAATGGCTAATGGATACCAGGTTATTTTAAACTTTTTTTTTTAGATCAAGTAATCCTTAAAGTGTTACTAAACCCATGACCTTGCGTTCACTCTATTTGGTCTCCCATAGTACACAGAACATGGAAATGCAATTATTTTAGTAAAATAAACTGCTAAATACGTCTGTCTGTAGAGTGCTGTGCTGATCACATGCACTCTCCCAAGAAAAAAAAACAAAAAAAACTCATCATCAATACATACCAAATTGAGCATGTGCAGCTTGCTCCAAAGGCTCTGATCTATCAGGAGATAGATTGGGGACAGTAGAAGAAGAGGAGGATCAGAGAAGAAAGGATCAAACACCTTTACACAATCCGGAAGATTAGGATTAACCCCTTAGATTCCACAGTGAGTATAACAGGCACGCTTTACTGCATAGACAGACTGATTTTACTGTTGTGGGTTTAGTAACACTTTAAAAGCGGAGTGTATGATATACAGTCAGGTCCATAAATATTGGGACATCGACACAATTCTAACATTGTTGGCTCTATACACCACCACAATGGATTTGAAATGAAACAAACAAGATGTGCTTTAACTGCAGGCTGTCAGCTTTAATTTGAGGGTATTTACATCCAAATCAGGTGAACGGTGTAGGAATTACAACAGTTTGTATATGTGCCTCCCACTTGTTAAGGGACCAAAAGTAATGGGACAATTGGCTTCTCAGCTGTTCCATGGCCACGTGTGTGTGTTATTCCCTCATTATCCCAATTACAATGAGCAGATAAAAGGTCCAGAGTTAATTTCAAGTGTGCTATTTGCATTTGGAATCTGTTGCTGTCAACTCTCAAGATGAGATCCAAAGAGCTGTCACTATCAGTGAAGCAAGCCATCATTAGGCTGAAAAAACAAAACAAACCCATCAGAGAGATAGCAAAAACATTAGGCGTGACCAAAACAACTGTTTGGAACATTCTTAAAAAGAAGGAAGGAACGCACCGGAGAGCTCAGCAACACCAAAAGACCCGGAAGACCACAGAAAACAACTGTGGTGGATGACCGAAGAATTCTTTCCCTGGTGAAGAAAACACCCTTCATAACAGTTGGCCAGATCAAGAGCACTCTCCAGGAGGTAGGTGTATGTGTGTCAAAGTCAATAATCAAGAGAAGACTTCACCAGAGTGAATACAGAGGGCTTACCACAAGATGTAAACCATTGGTGAGCCTCAAAAACGGGAAGGCCAGATTAGAGTTTGCCAAACGACATCTAAAAAAGCCTTCACAGTTCTGGAACAACATCCTATGGACAGATGAGACCAAGATCAACTTGTACCAGAGTGATGGGAAGAGAAGAGTATGGAGAAGGAAAGGAACTGCTCATGATCCTAAGCATACCTCCTCATCAGTGAAGCATGGTGGTGGTAGTGTCATGGCGTGGGCATGTATGTCTGCCAATGGAACTAGTTCTCTTGTATTTATTGATGATGTGACTGCTGACAAAAGCAGCAGGAGGAATTCTGAAGTGTTTCGGGCAATATTATCTGCTCATATTCAGCCAAATGCTTCAGAACTCATTGGACGCCGCTTCACAGTGCAGATGGACAATGACCCAAAACATACTGCAAAAGCAACCAAAGAGTTTAAGGGAAAGAAGTGGAATGTTATGCAATGGCCAAGTCAATCACCTGACCTGAATCCGATTGAGCATGCATTTCACTTTTTGAAGACAGAACTGAAGGGAAAATGCCCCAAGAACAAGCAGGAACTGAAGAGAGTTGCAGTAGAGGCCTGGCAGAGCATCACCAGGGATGAAACCCAGCGTCTGGTGATGTCTATGCGTTCCAGACTTCAGGCTGCAATTGACTGCAAAAGGATTTGCAACCAAGTATTAAAAAGTGAAAGTTTGATTTATGATAATTATTCTGTCCCATTACTTTTGGTCCCTTAATAAGTGGGAGGCACATATGCAAACTGTTGTAATTCCTACACCGTTCACCTGATTTGGATGTAAATACCCCCAAATTAAAGCTGACAGTCTGCAGGTAAAGTGCATCTGGTTAGTTTCATTTCAAATCCATTGTGGTGGTGTATAGGGCCCAAAATGTTAGAATTGTGTCGATGTCCCAATACTTATGGACCTGACTGTGTGTGTGTGTGTGTATATATATATATATATATATATATAAATAAAATAAAATCAGTTACACGTTAAAGTTAAACTCCAGGAATGAGACAAAATCTACCCCTGCAGCAAGCACCCCCACCTTCCCTGCAAGGGTTAAATGCTCAGGTAGTTTTTGGGAACCGGGATAAGATCTGTTACTTACCCGATTTCTGGTTCTGGGTAGGCTTCTCCTCAATCCATGTGATCAGTCCCACATAACATCCTCTCTACACCGCTTTGGGCCACGGTTGCATGCTCCTCTTATGTACAATGCAGGGTTACAGCAGTATTAAACTGCTATTTTTAAAGGTTGTCCAACAGGCAAGCTTGTAGTAATTCTTACCTTTAGGTACCATGATTATCTCCTAAACTTGTGCCATTTAGAAGATATTCACATCAGCACCAGTTGATGACATCACTGTGCATACTAGCACATTATGGAACAACAATATAGGAAACCCATTAAAAAACAAAAAAACAAAAAAAAAAAACAAAAAAAAAACTGGGTGAGTTTACTACCGTTTTAATAGCCCTGCACTGTGCGTAACGATGTCAAGAGACTTCCCACAGCCTGGAGCTTGAGGACAGGGCTGGTGCCTGCCACACCAAGGTATAAAGAATGTAGTACACTATATCTCTGAACTAATTGAATGATAAACCTTACAGTGCAGGGGGCTCACTGCAAGGGTAAATTTTGTCTCAGTCCAATAGTTCAGCTTTAATTAAAAAAAAAGATTTACATAGAACTAGAATTTGTTTCTCAATCTCAGGCTCCCATAACGCCCTGTAGGGCAGCACACAGACTAGGAGAGTCAATTGAGGTTCAAATGCTTCGCATTGCACTGACAGTCTAAACCTGTAAACATGCTTACAGGAGAGGGAAGCACAAGGATACCAGCTACTTCTTCATGGTCCAAAAACAAGCTGGGGTTGGTTCTAAATTGGGCAGTACTGTTTAACTGTAGTGTAGTCTGCAGAGGTTTTTAAGACCCAGTGCAAATATATGAATGTATTTCTTAGTATGCAGGTTTGTTATGCCTGTATGTATTAGGAGGACCAACCTCATGTTTTTGCAGCAGTTCCCAAAATCAAATCAATATATACTGTATATTTCTATTTAATGTAAAAAAAATTCTAAGTACTACAGAGCTGTCTTGACACCCCTCTAATTATTTCTTGGTGATGACATTTCTAATCAATTGGCAATTCCTGCTCACTACAGATACAGAAAACTGGAATGTTTGAACTGCAACAGTAAACCCGGCTAAGCCTACTGCTGTGGTTACATGTGGATGAACCTTGAGTTAGAACATAGATAATGCCCTGTGCAGTAATTGATTGGAAAGAGCTTTGCAACAGTGCACAGGCATTTTACCCAAAAGTCCGATACCTACGTTCACCAACGTTGACCACATAAGGACTTTTGGGCGTGGCTTCCCCACCGAATGTGACGCCAACAGTATGAGGTCCAGGTTTCAGCGGCTTGTAGGTGCATCGATACACACAATTTCCTTTATCTTCAAGTGCAATGTCCACAATATTTTTTCTCCCCTGAGGATCGATAACTTCTATTCCTATATCTCCGACTCCAGCACCTACAGTGGACAAATAATGTGGAAAGTTTTAATAAAACATACACACACACACTTAATGCAGTGAGGTATTTATTTAAAAAAATACAGCATGATTTTTTTTCATAATAAAAGTACACAAATGATTCTTTATTAACTTCTTGTAGACCTCTGCACAACAAGACTCAGAGCAGGCAAAGCATTCTTTGAGTCGACACTGGCTCTGAGGAAGAGGTAAAACCTCAAAACGCGTCAGAAAACAGCTATCTAGAGGTCTCCAGTCCCCCACCAGACCACTTCCAGGGGTTTTGGACCACATTGCATCCTTTGTGACATGCTTTCCATTTTATTTAATTTCTATTGTGAGTATTTTACGATTTATAATCTCATTTTTAAAGTTAATGCACTAGGCCCGTGCACCCTCTTTTCGTTTCTTATATGCAATTCTTTGAGTGGCGCCTGTGCCAAACAACCGACAGTTCGGTTAAAATCTAGTGATCAGAATGCCATATTCAAAACTATAAAAACGTGTTTGTTCAGACTGTAGCAATTCTTTAACAAGAAAAAAAAAATCATAAAAAAATAAGATACAATATTCAGTTCGAGTGCCTCTATGGTGTAATTGTGCTAAGGAACTATTCTGAGACAAAGCATGTGACATACTGCATGCCTCTGTAATATAATCACTATAATCACCAGAGCTGGCAAATTAGAACATTTACAATTGTATGAAACCTTGCCTGGAGTAATTAAAAAATGCAAACAACAACTCACGAGAGTTCTACTGTAGCCAATGAATTCTTAGGCACATTACAAAGATTAAACTTTCTATATTGCTTAAGGGAAAAAGAGGTGGGCAGAGGTTTTATCCAATTTTTTTATGTCTTTATTATCTGAAATGGGTGCATGGGAAAGGTCTATATACAACTTCACTGATAATAAGAAAAAAACAAAAACAAAGATGAGGACTCTAGATAGACAAGTTTTTAAGTTCTTGGAACCCTGGAGAATATTTAAATGTTGTTCTTTGGCAAGTTCAACAGACAACTTCGGTATAAAATGTAAATAAAAGAACAATTTCTGCGCTAAACACACAAAATTAATAGTATGCAAGTGTAACACAAATCATTAAAAGTAAAGTGTCCAAAACAAAAATAGTAAATGTCCGCGATGTGTAAATCGGCAAAGCAGTCCCCAATGATGTTATATCCAGTGACAGTGAAAACATCATGCCCCTACATAATCCAGACACCAAAGTGCACCAACACCTTACGTAATGGAGACATGGACTCTTTGGATAAAAAAAAAAAAAATCCTCTAAACCAAACTCTTCTCTTATCCTCATCTCCCACATAAATGACAATCAAAAGACAAATGTCAATTTTGCATATCACTTTTCCATTTCTTCACATATTCAGTGTCGGATAACACCCAGTGGGAAAAGGCACACGTATTTAGCCAATCCCGGGAATCGGCCACAGTTCCCCATTCCTGGGATATAACAGCATTGGAATCTGCTTTACCGATTTCTTACACATTACAGATTTTTACTGTTTTGGACACTATTTTAATGATTTTTGTTACACTTGCATACTATTCATTTTTTGTGTTTAGCACGGCAATTTTTCTGTTTACATTTTGTACACAATTCATCTAATGGTTTGTTGCCAGCTGCTTTTTCATGGTATTACACCAGCGTGATTCTTTGTTGGTGCTTTAGACAACTTGTGTATGCCTACACCCAAGTACAAACATTTTACATATTGCAGTTTACTGGTCCTTAGATGTGGTAGTTGCCGTAGTTTTTTTTTCTTTACAGACTTTTTCCTTTTTTTTTATGGGGGGATCCTGTCTGTAAAACTTCCTGTCCTAGGGTGACAAGGTTTAAGATGGCCATAGACTCTTTTGATCAGTCAATGGCCCAAACTGAATCACTCTGTCAAACATCTTTCAACTGAAGAATTGAAGGAGCCAGGTGGACAGTTGTTGGCTGAACGGCACCTGCATAGTACACAGACATGGAGGGAGATTCGTCCTTCTGTATTTGTGGAGGTGTATCGCTTTTCTCCCTTGAACAGGACTACAGACCACCTTCCCTCTCTCAACTAAAGAGTACAATGGAAGTCATCAACGCAGAAAGTTAAAGCATCATCAACTGCTATTTTATGGACTTATTGAACAGATAAAAAAAAAAGTGTGAGAACTGCGCTGAATGCGTGAAAAATAGATCAAATATGAACAAATAAAATGAATAAATACAAAAAAATGCTGCTAGTTCAAAAATATCAAACAAAACACATAAATGAGCACTCAAAAAAATGACCCAGTAGCGCATAAATATAGAAGTGAAAAATAGTGAACATAAAAAGTGAAAACTGAGTGTGTAGTCCAAAGAAAGTCCGAAAGCTACTTCTTATCCAGCAAACGATTCTTCCAAATCTTCAAACTAAATCACCACATGAGAAAAGAAATTATTATGTTCCCCCTGTCGGGTATAAACTCACCAGCAAATGTTGCCCCCCCCCCCACTCTCATGGTTGGCTAAAGAGGCTCAATCAATATCTCCCGGTAGGCTGACGGATCAATCAGTGCCAGTATCAATCATCTCCTCCAATCTTTCAGGCCTTTAGAATTCACTGGAGAGTGCTCGGCAGAAGTTGGAAAGGATCTAGCTGTCCTGTGGCTTTAGCAACAATTGTGTGACCCAGGCGAGTTTGTATGTCATCATAATGTCACATGTGTATCACAGAGCTGGCTATGTGACGGAGAATAGGACTGTCCGGACAATTCAGACGAGTCACCAGAACGTTGGTTATTTGGTTTGAGTGTGGAGTATTTAGAGGAGGGGGAGGCTCCTCTGTTACCCTAAATGCCACCATTTTTGGATTCCCATCATTTTACGAATCATTGTTGACCTTTTGGGGATAGGAGATTATAAAGATTGGAGGAGATGATGGATACTGGCACTAATTGATCTGTCAGCCCTCTGGGAAATATTGATTTAGCCTCTTGAGCCAACCATGAGAGTGGGGGGGCAACATTTGCTGGTGAGTATACCCGACAGGGGGAACATTATTTTCTGTTCTCACATGGTGATTTAGTTTGAAAGTTCAGAAGAATCGCTTGGTGGATAAGAAGTAGCTTTTCGGACTTTCTTTGGACTACACACTCAGTTTCCACTTTTTATGTTCACAATTTTTCACTTCTATATTTATGTGCTACTGGATCACTTTGAATGCTCATTGATGTGTTATATACAACAAAATACTTTCGATAGCTATTAAACAGACCAAATGAAAGCAAGTAATAGGAATATACTGTTCGAGGTTACATACAATTTAAATTCTTCCTGCTAATCAGGAGAACTAGAAGAGTGCAGAAAACTGGCTGCTCTGTCAGTATCGATTAAGGCTGTTAACTGTAATTTTCAACACAAAGGTAGTTTATGTTTGCACAGAGCTTGACATCAGCCTGCGGGGACACTGCGGTGTAGACACTGGAGGAAGCATCAGCCGCTTCCATCCTCAGTGCTCATAGCAGAAAGCACAGCGGAGTGTTTTGCTTGGCTCAGCAACGCTAGCCGGTGCTCAGTGGAATAAGAACATCCTTTGTGTTTTCTGTTCTAAAATTAGCAGCGCAGGAGGAACTGGCTAATATTTCAACCCAGGCTCTATTACCAAAGCAATCGTATTAGCTAAACAGAGGAGCGTGGAAAGAAAAACACAAACTGACATATGAGCGCAATTATGCCCATGCTATGACATAAGTCATTTTCATTTTCTCCCCAGCACAACTACAATATTTAGATATTAATCACGTGTATATTATCATTAGGCACTCAGAGTAATTCCCAATACCGGGCCTCTTTTTGCAGCAATTGACACTTTACAGCATGATCTGTGTCTTGGACAGGATTCATGTTTAATATATGTCTAGCAGGTTCGTTGAATACTGAAATATTTTCTAACACTAGAAACTTTAAGCCACTCCAGGCAACAAATGGACTGACTCCGCCAACTGTAATACTATCCATAAAATTATTCAAGTCTAGAAAACTTAGTCCACAAACTTTAGCTTTATTGGCATTTTACACAACTTTGAACATGATCTATTGACACAAAATAAAGTGCCTATAGATGGGACTGCAGCCTCTTGCCAATTGTTCCTGAGCAATAACCCTCTGACTGTCCATAATTAGAAAGAGCATACGTATTAAAGACACTGTATATACATAGTTACATAGTAAGTCCATCCAACCAGTACAACCCAAAGGACTTCAGATGGCAGAACTTACAACTCAACTAGCACCCTCAAGAATTTGGAGCACCAGGAGTCTGGATTATTGGAGACCATCGGGCAGAAAAGTATAATAATGCAGGATCAAAATGAAAAGTACACATGCAGATAGATTGCAACAAAGATTTACTTAAATTACAGATTTTAAGCTTTTACTGAAGTGAACTTGTCATGCAGGAAACATGAAGTATGATGCACACAGCGACTGGTTTCTAGTTTAGACTAACCTACATCTCCCTTCTCACCTTTGTTTCCATCCTAGGTTTAGTGACCAAAAACAAGGTCACTACTTCAACTGGAAAAAACAAGGTTTTGGTTCAAAATTGTTACAAAATGCCTCTCCAAGACTGAATGGAAAACACAAGCAATCCAGGGACAAATTTGAAGTAAAGCAGATACGTAGTTTACTCAAGGAGGGGCAATTAGTGGTACCTTGTGCATGCATGAATTGCGGCCTTAAAACCCAAGTGAAGTTTAGGCAGAGACTTAATAAACTGGTGCGCACAGAATCTGGTACAGCTGTGCATAGCAACCAATCAGGTTCTGTCAAAGCTTAACCAGTTGCCAACTGCCCTGTAGCAGTGTATATATATATATATATATATATATATATATATATATATATATACACACACACACACACACACACACACACACATATATATATACACACACACACACACACACACACACACACACACTCTGCTATTCAGGGTGGGGAGCGCATGTGCGCGCGTGCCTGCCTACACGCGCTGTCGTTGGTTCCTGTACATGTCAATCACGGGGTCCTGGCCACAATTTGTGGCTGGGACCCAGCGATTGGCAGAGCAGCTGACAGGAGAGAGGTCTGTGAATGTAACCAACAGGGGAAGGGGGGGAGATAAAAACCAGCACGTCCCCTAATAAAAACAGTACATAGTGCACATCAATAACATTCCATAACTCAGTTAACCCTTTGATCACCCCAGATGTCAACCCCTTCCTGCACAGTGTCATTTGTATAGTGACAGTGCGTTTTATTAGCACTGATCACTATTAGTGTCACTGCAGATGTCAATGACAGTCAGTCAATTCCCACCCAGTGTCAGAATGCCTGTCGTTATATCACAGCCCCGCTATAAGTCACTGATATTTGCCATTACTAGTATAACAAACAAAAACCACTATCTATACCAATGTTTGGTTTGCGTGAAAATGTTAGCTTCTACAATTAATATATAAACGTATTGGAATTTCTTTTTTTTAGCAAAGACATGTAGCAGAATATATTTTTGGCCTAAATTTCTAAAGAGAAATTGTAGGTTTTATTTGATGTTTTAAAGCAAAAAACAATTTTTTTTTTTAACTTTTCAGTCTTTGATAGTCACTGGGTTTTTTATGTTTTGCACTATAAAATGAACAAAAATACCACCAACAGAAAGTTCTATTTCTGTGAAAAAATTACAGATTTCTTTTGGGTACAGTGTTGCCATAGACCACACAATTGTCAGTTAAAGTAGCCCAGTGCCGTATAGCAAAAAATGGCCTGGTCTTGTGCACCAAATTTAAAGCATTTGGCCTAAATCTTCAATTGGACTTTAAAGGTTACCATTAGAATTATTCCAAAAAGGTGCTAATGGTAAGGGGGACCCAGGCAAGCTCAAGGAAAGGTACCTACAAGCCAGTTTGTTACTTACTAGTCTCCCCAGGAAGATCTTGGGAACCACGAAAGAAAAAAGGGACTTCTATAAGGCCAAGCTCAGTCTGATTTACACCTGTGACCATCGCTAGAGCAGGAGAGGGAAGAGGGAAGAGAAATTGCCATACTGTATAGGTGTTTTGTTGTCAGGACAGAACAAGTCATGTTGCAAAGTGGCCAATGACAGGAATTCTCCAGACGAAATATAGCTCCTCTGACCTAAGCACCTTTTGTAAAAATAACACTGGCATAGCATTTATAACAATGAAAACAATTCTAAGATAATGCTAAAGCCTTATTGCTTTAAAAACCAAAGAAGAAAATGATTACAAACAGAACAATACACACCTGCAGTATAAATGTCGAAGTAGGTGGGTTTATTGGCAATGTTACCGGTTGCCTCCAATCCAGGTCCTTTAGCTGTGACTTTACTGGCGTCTCCCTGAGCCTTCTCAACATTTACTTCAAATGGGCTCTTTGAAATGTGCTGACCGGCAAAGAGCACAGTAACCTATAAAACACAACATTAAACACAAAGTTTGGGCAGCGTGCACAACTCAGAAACTGGGCTTAACAAGCAACAGATTCAAGTGTAGAGTGTTAAAAGATTGACACTGCCATAAAACTGGGGTGGGCCGATGCCTGTCTTGGCTTGTTAAGTGGTGCAGTTCCAAAAATGAAGATCATTTTAAAAACAAAGGCTTCAAGATAGATTACGCATTTTTATTTCTTTCAAGAAGTGCCTAGGTCTATGATAAAAAAAAAAAATTTTTTATTAAAGCGGGAAAATCTTGAATCAAAGATGATCTTGTAAAAATACATGATGTAATTTGGACAGCAAAAGCTGTCTGGCAGCCTGTGTCAGAAATGCCAATATACAGCTCAAAATGTAAAGGATGGCTTTGGGGAAGCCTTATGTTATGGCTGGACTGCCTGTGTCAACAGCTTGTTAATGACATCAGCTTTACAACCTATATCTGCTGCAAGCCAAGTCTAAGCAAGGATTCCTGTGATGGATGGCTTAGGAAATTACTTGGTTTTATGGGGTCCTGCTGACTGAAATCACTTAAGATGTCACTAAAACATTTTAGACACAATGAGAAATCTACAAAGTACAGTACCCTGGAGCAAACAATCAGAATTTAGTACTCACTGGTGTGGTTCAGCTACCGAAAGTAATTTTTTTACCGTAGCTAAGAATTGACAAGCACTAACAGTGGAGGCTCCTGAAGACATGACAGGAGGTTTTCCCTTACAACCAGGTACAATCTGATTAGGGAACAATCGTATGTCTGTAAGGTCTTAAGACATCAGTTGGATCTAGATGCATTCAGGAGATGTGGCAATGAGATTTTAGTGGCTTAGAGGTTAATGCTCGTGGCTTGCAGCACTAGGTTCCTCAATTGGAATCGCAACCAGGATGCCATCTGCATAAAGTTCTCATGTTCTCCCTGTACTTGCATGGGTACTCCAGTTTCCTCCAACACTTCAAAGATTACGTTAACTGGCCGTAGTGTAAGTATGCATGTGAGGAAGGGACTACAGATGACCTCGGATGTCCTCAAAACTAATCTCTAACCAAACTCAGAACTTGTATTTTTTTTAAACTCCAATGAACTGCAGGCCAGGTAATTTCTGCCTCACAGCCCACCACTTAGTTTGCAGAAGGAAAAAAAAATGACTAGAGATTAGTTTAGAGGACACCCAAACTCCTCTAGTAGGGACCGTAGAATGTAAGCTCCCTGAGGGCAGGGATTAATGCGAATGTTCAATATGTAAAGCACTGTTCAAATTGTCAGCACTATAAAAATGCCTGAATTAAATATACGGAAGAGTGGTCTTATAACAGAGGCCTATTTCATGTACAGTCCATCCCACTTTACTGACCCCGTTATCTTGTAACCTGATGAAATCAAACATATCAGAAATGTAAAAGAATAGAGTTATGCATTAAAAGGTTTTGAATGTTTATTAGAAAACGTCACTGTTATTTTCCAACTGATAAAATGTATATACAGTGACCACCACACAAGCGGTTTTGTAATATATTTTAGTTCGAGTTATTAGCAAAAATAACCATTAGCCATACACCACAACAGATCACTGCCCCCAAGGGACAAATAGCAAGTTTAACTAGCTGTAACACTTAATCCCATGTCTCAAAGTACATCTGTACAGTGTTCGTTTGTTGAAGAAACAGTGCTACATTAACCTAAAATTGAGTAATGTGCTAGAGAAATGTCCCTTTAATACCTTTAAACCAGACCCTTAAAACAAAAAGCAGTATGCATTTTTTCAGACTAAAAGGTCCCTTAATCTGCTTAATGCATATGTGGATGCCTAATAGGGATTTAATTACTGACATTATCGCTGGATCATGGATACTTGGCGTTTCTCACTTGGTGCCAGGTTTTGTAGAGTTCATCGCCAAGAAATGAGGTATGTTTTTCTTTAGGCATTTTTATACTACTCATAATTTTTGTAGATTGTGAGCTGCTGAGAATGACAACCACACTTTTCTTGTAATTATACATACATAAAAACACACCTAGTTTCTCAAGTAACCGAATGACAAAGGTTTATAATTACAAATCTGTTAAGGATTGGTTGACTGATCATCTGTTATTTGTTTGCTGGAAGATACAAGGGCTGTACCAAAAGTAAGGCAAAAGTGGGTGTAGCACTAACCACTCAGCAGTCACTAGAAGATTTGGGTCCCCCTACTGTCCTGCCCAGCCAGGCAACACACATCTTCACACAGGCTTGCATCCAGAGTCATATCAGTCCTTGAGCTTTGGCTTTGTTTTATTTAGGGGATTTAAACTGGGAGACGGTTTGGGGTGTACAAGATGCCCAAGGGTACTGATGAACTGAGGACAAATTCCTAGATCTACAAGCCTTCTCTGCAGCACAGTCTTTGTTGGAGAGCTAGCCAGCATCTCCTTAGTGTACCACCCCAGACCCTAGATGAACTTCTCTTCATCCAGCAATCTGAAGGTGTCCCTGAACAGAGGATCCGGTTACTGTCACTTTGCGTTGAACAGTGACTGACAGGTGGCTAATCTTATTTTCCACCAGAGTGCTCCTTCCCCTATCCTCACAGGGGGTGTAGGTGTACTCAATCAGATCCGCTCTTGTACCGCTTGTGGGTTGGTGGCTGCTACCAAGCCTATGAGCTGGGTGGCTCCTTCCCTACCATACAGGTGGTCTTCTCTCCGGGAGCTGGTGAGCTCTGAGCTTTTCTCCTTTCCAGTTTCAGGCCTGCAGGTAGGCTCCATCCCACTGGACATCCTCGCAGCCTCACATCCTCCGTCTTCCACCTAAACTCTCGCTCCATTCTCCTGCCGCTGAGCAGGCTCCAACACTTAAGGGTGTCCAGCCCCTTGCCAACCTCTTGTTGTGGATTAGCTAGGATCCCTCAAAAGTGCAACCAGCCACTCCTAAGCTCCACCCACTGCCCCTAAGCACTTCCTCCAAAAGCACTAGAGCAGGGGGAAATTCCAGAGGGGCTGGCCTACAAAGCCTCTCAGCTCTGACCACAATAGGACCCTCTGGCTATTACACTCTGGCTGCTACTCATCCTTTTTCTAACCATTGGAGTCTAGCTCCCCCTAGCTAAACTAGGAGGGCGCTACATGGGCAAAACATTTCTCAACTTGCATACGGTTGTTCAATTGTCAAATGTTGGTATAGTAGATCCTCCTCTATAGTAAATCTGCTGCTGCTTCTTTTTTCACTGCAGGTAAACAATGGATCCCAAGCAGAAGCAAAGTGCCGAGGTTAAGGAGAGGTTAAGGCTGTCAGACAGCCACAGAAAGCTACAAATATAGAATGTTTACAGAGACGTAACCAATGACAAGACCTTGTTCGTCAATGGTGTAATCTGTAAAAATTCTGTAGGCTTCTGTGGTTGTCAGACATCCTACACCCCTCCTTCGTCAAGAACTCAATGACAACACGTTACTTCTGTTTGAAACCCAATATTTGCCTGCAATGAAAAAGAAGAGTTATTTTAGAGGAAGAGTAACTATAAAAACATGTGAAATTTGAACGACCTATGCAAGTTAAAAAAAAAAAAAAAAAAAAAAAAAGTTATGCTTAATTGCATTACTTTCGATACAGCCCTCATACATTGAGTTAAGATCTATTCTCTAGATGGATTAATTGATAAAGCCATCAGAGCGAGTCCCTCTTTTTTTTTTTTTTTTTTAAACAAGCATTTTTCATACTCTCAAAATAGGAATTCAGATCTTGGCATCATTTATTGTCTTTGATCCCTATCAAACATTCACCATTTATAACAGTAGAACCATTGCTCTTGCCTGTGGGCTCATATTTGACACTCAGCAAATGAGCAGGAAAACAAACAGACACAGATCCCTTTCACACGGGGTGGATTCTGATCAGATCAGCAGGAGATCACCTCACAGATACTCTGCTGATCGGAGTACAGCAGGCGGATGACACATACGTGTCCACTTAGTTTCTGCAGAGCAGACACAGACAGAGCCCGCTCTGCTCCAAGACTCCTCTTTCCATTTACACCTGTCTACTCTCAGATCCAAATAAACTGAAGAGGACAGATCCTCTTGTATTCTTTTAGTGGACCAGATCGACCACAGAGGACCCTCCTATGCATAGGATTGTATGGATTTTCTGATCGGGTCTGCCTGAAAAGGGGCAAATGATATAAACTAAACGGCCCTAAATACAACACCCTCTAAGTAATGGTAAAAATCAGTAAAGGGATCCCTTGGGATGAAACTTGACCTTTGTAATGAAGTGGGTGATGGTGGGCTGTGATGTTGCTGCATTTGGTGCAGCCCACACCAGGGAATAGGTTTGTAAAAAACACACTGAGCTCTGTCATGATGGTGCTGGTTAAACACCAGGAGATGTAGGTTAAACCCTTCACACCTAAGGGTACACATCACAACTACTTTGTACATCCAGGTGAATTATACCTTGTTTTTTTCAGGACAAATTGGGTTTTCATTTGGTGGTAATTGATCATGGGAAAAAAAAAAAAAAAAAAAAAAAAGAAAAATCAGGATATATCCAAGGAAAACAGTAAAAAATAGTAAAAGAAAAATATTTTAAATTTAGCAGCATGTTTGTTACTACCATAACCTACCATCAAAGAGCAACCCAAAATAAATTTTCCAACTCTTGATGATCGCAGCGATACCATATATGTGTATGTTACTTGTTGTTTGTACATGTAGTACAGCCCAGAAACAATAGTGCACATTTTGTTTTTTTTACCTAAAAACACACTGGACACCAAATATTTATTTATTTTTAAATCAGGAACTTTGAACCTGACCCAAACAAACACTTACCCTGGCACTGAACTAGAACAAACCCTGATCTAGGTATTTATTTATTTATTTATTTTTTAATATTATCTTTTTTTTATTTTACAAAAATTTTTTTTTTTGCCAGGAGTTAGAGAGCTACAATGCATCTCTCGCCTCCATTCATAGAAAGAGAAAAAAAACAAAAACAAGGGAGCTGGACTGTACAGTGACTGATCGATGCGATAGCCAATCAGAGGCTATCACAGCGATCATGTGACCCGGATCCTGATAGTTAGAATGGGCCCGGGGCTCTCACTGACACCGCGGTCTTTGTGCTGGGAGCGCGCAGTGTGGCGCGCTGCCAGCAGAAAGACAAGTACGTAAATATGTGGCCCCATTGAAAAAAGCCCAGTTCTGTGAGTTCGCCTATTTGTGTTACGTCAGCGTCAAGGGGTTAAATGTTTTATGCAGAAGTGTAGTTTGAAGCTTGTGGGCCCTCATGCAAAAGCCGACCTGGGACTCCCCACTACCACCCTCTGCTTCCACTGCACACCAAGATACTCCCATCACACACCATGATACTCCAAGTGGCTAAAGGGTTATTTCAGAGGTCTGATGTGAGGGGGATGCCCCTCACATCAGACCTCTGAAATAAAATGAAAGATGAAAACAAATCGTGTCAGAATAGGCTGGGGAATTAAATGAATTAAGCCGAGAAACCCTTTTCCTTTGCATCAGCTTTTGTTACACTTATATGAGTTACAGAAATTGTCAGGCCCCAATAGCATGGAATAATAATAAATTATTAATAATAAACCGACCGTTTACCTTGTGCATACCAGTCACTTTGGGTACATATTCCACTGAGAAAGTCTTGTTCTTGTCATTGTTGGCTGTGACCTTGGCCTTCACAAAGACACACATGGGTTAATGAATAAACTAGTAAGCGGCATTATTAGAATACTGTACATACTTGGAATAACTGCTATATATTACATTTATCCACAATTACATCATTTGGAAAAACAACTGGGCTTTATTCATTAAGATAAAACAAAAGGCTGATGAATGTGTTGGAGATGAGGTGGAGAAATAGATTGGGGGACATTCTATTTGCTCATACACTGATCTGTGAACGGACCATAAAGCAGCTGAATAGCAAGTTCTAACTATAGGTCCTATTTATTAAGATAATACAAAGAAACAATGCAAACAAGACTATATTTTGTGGTTCAGATGTGTAAAACAGGGACATGCAGGTACCATACACACAAAAAAGGCAGTTAGTGCAAAGCATGCAGAGTACCAGAATAAATATAAGGTCATGCCATTCACATAGCAAACTGCTTCTACATGCCATGTGTTAAGAAGCAAGTATATGCAGTTCAGGTTAGGTTATTTTGCAAGAAATTAAAGTTCTTTGAGTTTAACTGATGAAAACGAATGTGCATGAACCTGAAATATATAAAATCAGGAGGCATACATCTACTTTTATTCCTACATCTTACTACATGAAGAGGAAAATGACGCATGCTATTCAAAACCTACTTAAAGGGGTTCTCCACCTTGAGGTAGGAATGGCCCTGACTGTTTTGTTAGCCAATTTTGGACAGGTTGTTATAAACTACCAAGGTGGGGTCCCAACAAGTGGGCTCCAACTTTTTTTTTTTTTTTGAAAAAAGGGGAGGATGGATCTTTACAGATTTTAAAATAAAATTTTTCAGACTTTGTACCATAGTTAAAAAATATTTTGTTAAAATTTCTGTCACAGATGAAGACCTGGCCTAACAGGCAAAGCTTCAACACTTTTAGGTAGTGTCAGCACTTGCTGATAAGCCCAAACCCTGTGTATTTTGTTTTTAAGATGTGTTTTTGTTCATTTTAGTAAAGCACATACAGTGGGGAACAGAAGTATTTGAACACCCTGCGATTTTGCAAGTTCTCCCACTTAGAAATCATGGAGGGGTCTGAAATTTCACATTGTAGGTGCATTACCACTCAGACAGAATTAAACAAAAATATAAATTCTTTAAAAATCAAACAATGTGATTTCCTGAATTTTTGTCTTGCACTGCTAAACATAAGTATTTGAACACCTGAGAAAATCAGTGTAAATATTTGGTACAGAAGCCTTTGTTTGCAACTACAGAGGTCAAACGTTTCCTGTAGTTCTTGACCAGGTTTGCACACACTGCAACAGGGATTTTGGCCCACTCCTCCACACAGATCTCCTCTAGATCTGTCAGGTTTCAGGGCTGTCGCTGAGCAACACAGTTTCAGCTCCCTCCAAAGATGTTCTATTGGATTTAAGTCTGGAGACTGGCTAGGCCACTCCAGAACCTTGATATGCCTCTTACGGAGCCACTCCTTGGTTATCCTGGCTGTGTGCTTCGGTTCATTGTCATGTTGGAAGACCCATCCACGACCCATCTTCAATGCTCTGAGGGAATGAGGTTGTTGCTCAAAATCTCACAATAAATGGCCCCATTCATCCTCTCCTTAATACAGTGCAGTCGTCCTGTCCGCTTCGCAGAAAAGCACCCCCAAAGCATGATGTTACCACCCCCATGCTTCACAGTAAGGATGGTCTTCTTGGGATGCAACGCACACTTTTTCCTTCAAACACGACGAGTGAGTTTTAGACCAAAAAGTTCTACTTTGGTCTCATCGGACAACCTGACTTTCTCCCATGCCTCCTCTGGATCATCCAGATGGTCATTGGCAAACTTCAGACGGGCCTGGAAATGTGATGACTTGAGCAGGGGAACCTTCCGCGCAATGCATGATTTCAAACCACGACGGCGTAGTGTTCTACCGACAGTGACCTTTGAAACTGTGGTCCCAGCTCTCTTCATTTCATTGACCAGCTCCTCCCTTGTAGTTCTGGTTTGATTCCTCACCTTTCTTATCAGTGATACCCCACGAGGTGAGATCTTGCATGGAGCTCCAGTCAGAGGGAGACTGACAGTCGTCTTTAGCCTCTTCCATTTTTTAACAATTGCTCCAACAGTTGATCTATTTTCACCAAGCTGCTTGGCAATTGCCCCGTAGCCCTTTCCAGCCTTGTGGAGGTCCACAATTTTGTCTCTGGTGTCTTTTGACAGCTCTTTGGTCTTGCCCATGGTAGTAGTTGGCGTCTGACTGACTGTGGGGTGGACAGGTGTCTTTAAAGAGCTCAGACAGGTGCTACTAAGTTAGATTAATGAGTGGAGTACAGTAACAGGTCTTTGAGAGCCAGAATTTCTTAGGTTTCTTAGGGGTTTAAATACTTATGTTCAGCAGTGCAAGACAAATAAATTCTTAAAAAAAAAAATCATACAATGTGATTTCCTGAATTCTATTTTTTAAATTCTGTCTCTCAGAGTGGGAATACACCTACAATGTGAATTTCAGACCCCTCCATGATTTCTAAGTGGGAGAACTTGCAAAATCGCAGGGTGTTTAAATACTTCTGTTCCTCGCTGTACAATAACATACAACACTTCGTTGTCTCTCACGTCTCAACGTACCAGGGTGTCTACAAGTATTTTAAGACCAGTACAGAAAAGTCACAACCGCAACATTCAAAATCTAATAGCATCTGTAGGGTTAAGGCAGTTTCCTGGATCTAGAGTAATAAGCGGATGGGTAGATGTAACGCATACCTTTTCAAAGATCTGTGGCTTTTTCCTTAGTTCATTAGCGAGTTTTTAGAATGGTAGAACCATCATTAAATTTTCTCCAAGCATGAAAAGGAGGGGGGGGGGATTAAAATTCCATGTTGAATGGACTTCCCAGCATAACAGTATTTGTAATAACACTTAGGCATTATTGGTGACCTTTGAATTTCTAAATAAGCTAAACAGACAGTTTTTAGGACAGGAAATGTTGGGAAGTTCCAGAGCGGAGGGGATAAAGCCATTGCCTTTCAGTGAGAAGTCCCAGACAGAGTGGCAAGTACAGAAAAAGTGGAAAAAGCTATTTCTCCACACTCCCTAAAGCATATTGCAGAGGAGCATATACTCATTTTATTAGGTATAGCCTACCAACACCCCCCCAGACATCGCACCCTACGACCCCTCCACTCGCCGATCCACCGGACCCACTGAAGACCCCTCGGACGCCAGCATACTGCACTCACAGATTGCAGCTACAGAAGGACTCTAGTGGACTCCTCCACGGTGATACAGACTCTCCACATCACCTCGCCCTGACCCATATCCCTTCACCTCCCCCGACCCGAACAGCACTGCACTCACCCCAGCATGCCACCTGCACTTCTCCTCCTCGTCTCCTCCTCTCCTCCATCCCAAAAATTGCCTCCCTCTACCCGCCCACCCCCCCAAAACAGCTCTACATTGCCCCTTCACTTCTGCCCTCTCCCCCCACTACGGCACTCACCACCTCCTCCTGGTACTCCACTCCCCGGTCGACCCACGTGCCACCACTACCAGACCCACACGCTCCTACACCTCCCATTCCCATGCCACTCTCCTCACCCTTCTCCTATCCGCCGGGGACATCTCCCCGAACCCTGGCCCCTCACCACCTTTCCCCCCTCCAGGGACCCCCCTGCCCCCGCAACCCCCTCAACCTCATACCTGTGCACCTCCTCCCCGCATCCATCCCCCCTCTCTCGGTTGCACTTCTGAACGCCCGTTCGGTTTGCAACAAACTAACTGCCATCCATGACCTCTATCTCCCGCTCCCTCAACCTCCTAGCCATCACCGAAACCTGGGTACAGGCCACTGACACTACCTCCCCTGCGGCACTCTCCCATGGAGGTCTCGTCTGGTCCCATTCACCAAGACTGAGCGGTCACAAAGGTGGTGGTGTCGGCCTGCTCCTATCACCGCTGAGTACCTTCCAGGTCCTCCCTAACCCCCCCCCCCCTAACCTTCTCCTCCTTCGAGGCTCACTGCATCCGCTCTTTTCACCCACCCCCCTAAGGATCGCAGTGATCTACAGGCCCCCCGGATCCATAGCCCGCTTCCTGGATGACTTCGCTTCCTGGATGACTTCGCCGCCTGGCTTCCCTTCTTCCTCTCCTCTGAGCTACCGACCATCCTCGGGGACTTCAACATCCCCATCAATGACAACACCCCAGCTACCTCCCAACTCCTCCACCTAACCTCCTCCACACTCACACAATACACTCAATCCTCCACCCACATCAATGGGAACACCCTGGACCTCGTCTTCTCCCACCTCTGTACCCTTAACCACTTCACTAACACCCCCTTCCCTCTCTCCGACCACCACCTCCTCACGTTCTCCACCTCCCCCCCTTCCCCTAACTCCCCCCCCCCCCCCCCCCCCCCCCCCCCCCCCCCCCCCCCACACCAAACCATCACCAGCCGCAACCTCCGCAACCTGCACCCGGCCCCCCTCCACTCGGCTGCCGACCGCTTACACGACAGCATCCTTCCACTGTCATGTCCTGACCTAGCCACCTCCACGTACAACGACTCACTATCAGCTACCCTAGACTCTCTGGCACCCCTAACCACACGCAACATCAAACCCAGACCACTCCAACAATGGCAGAATGACCACAATAAATGCCTCAAACGTCGCAGTCGTGCGCTGGAGAGACTATGGCGCAAAACCAGGTCCCCTCATGCATTCTCCCTCTACATATCTGCCTTCCTCACCTACACCTCCTCCCTCCACGCCGCCAAGCAGGCCTACTTTGTTAACCTGATTAACACCCTCTCCACCTGCCCTCGCCGACTCTTCTCCACCTTCAACTCCCTGCTCTCTCCCCCCCCTCCTCCACTCAGTACCTCACTTACCGCCCACGAGATTGCCACTCATCTCCACAACAAGATTGACGCAATCCGCAAGGACATAGTCAACTTGCAATCTACCTCCCCATCTAGCCTCCCCCCTTCCATCGCCCCCTCATCTCTCCCCTCCTCTGACC